CACATTGACGACAGCTTGACACACACTATCTTGAGATAAACTCATTCCATGAGCTCTCTTTTGCACTGAATCTAGGGATGACCTCTACTTTTCTTTGTCAGTTATCTGATCTACTGTAGGTGTACTGTAGACGGCATTATGCGTAATTATAGTTGAGAACTGTGCGCTGGTTCGTAAAAGGCCTCGGTCCGTGACGGCAGACAACTGAAAATCTGCATAGTTGTCAATGTGTTAATGAAGCACATACAGGGAATATCATCTTTAGGCTATCTCAGCGACGAAAATTTGCGTTTTCATAGCCTTTTCTGAGTTAAAAAGAAGGTTTCTGTGAAATTTTCGCCTGAGTTAGACAACATTTTTGATTAATTTCTCATTTGACCAAAATTGGGTTTCAGAAGTTTAGGAAAGCTGTTGCAGTTGAACAAAAACGAGAGTATGCGCTTGAATCTTGCGTAGAAATCGCAGAAATCGAAAATGCTGGTCTATCTCGTTTGAGAGTGATTTTCAACGCTTGGGACGTTGTCGGTGCTCTTCGTCGCGTCATGACGACCAGGATGATATATAATGTTACAGAATGTCATTGAGACTCCGTGGAGATCTACGACTAGAGCCAAATGCCTCGTAGGCTCTGGTCTGTCTCCGCTGCTCGTCTACGTCTCCGCGCGCTGCGCGCTACCTCGCTACCCCAAAAGCGGACCGCAGGCATTTGGCTCTGGTTTTTTTGTTTCGAACTCAATTATAGCAAGCTATATGTGTTTTGAAGCTCTTGATCTCTATTTTCACGCTGACAACGTCCCACCACATTTTTTGATTTGATCGAGAAATCCGGTAAAAACCTTGTTTTCAAAAATCTCTTATTTTTCTCCTAGTTTAACTCTTTTCATGCGGTTTTTTCGTGTCTATAGATCTTGCTTCTGTTCATAATGCTGACAACCACCCAGCCCTTATCTCTTCGATTATGGTGAATTTTTTTTGCGAAAAATCGTAAAAATTGTGTTTTTTCAAACTGATTCTATTACAGTGCTTTTGCAGCGATTTTTTTTCAGTTTGGGCGATTGTTGCTCAGAAATATCAAGTCGGTGCAAAAGTTTTGTCAGTTTTTTCGATCCGTCGGCAAACACGTTAGAATGAAGATAAACAAACACTTCAAAATGTATCCGATGCAGAATTTCGTCGTCTTTCCAGTGCTAAACTCTCGTTGTGTTTCGTTGCGAGACTGACGAGATACTTGCTGGAAATTACAACCACTTATTTTTACCATGTCCAACTTTCGCTAATTTTCAAAATTTTTATATGAGACTTTCGGAGGAGCCCTAATAACCAACAGATAGGGCAAACCTTTTGCCAACAAAGGCAATTTTTGTAGCCCTACGGCTTGTCTTTCAGAATTTCTACGATTTATTTTTTGAAGTAACTCAATTTTACATTCAGCCTATTTTAACTTCGTAAAACGTAAATTGTTAAACACTTCAGTTACCATTCGATGTAGCTTTTTCTCCTCCTTCTAAAACTTGTCTTTTTTGCCGAGACAGGCGAAATTTGTGGGGAAAATCGCAGTATTTCTCAATTTCAGGAATGCGCACTGCCGTAGCCTATGTTTTGAAATCTTCTCAATTTGAAGCGAAAATCGCTCATGTACTTTGTAATGGTAGCGGTAGTAATAATCGAGTGTTGAACCTCAGTATTCTGTAGGTTTTGCAGTGTTTGGTGCAAAAACAGGTTATGCGTTTTTTCCATAACACAAAACTTTTAGAAAATTATTTAACAAAAGTCTGAAAAAGCAGCTGAAAAAATTGCTTTTGTTGGCAAAGGGTTTGCCTTATCTGCAGGTTATTGCGGCTTCTCACAAAGTCTCATACAAAAATTCTGAAAATTAGCGAAAGTTGGGGATGGTAAAAACGAGTGGTTGCAATTTCCAGCAAGTATCTCGTCACTCTCGCAACGAAATACAATGATAGTTTGGCAGCTGGAAAGAGGAAGAAATTCTGCATCGGATACATTTTGAAATGTTAGCTTATCTTCATTCTAACATGTTTGAAGATGGATTGAAAATAACTGACAAAACTTTTGCACCGACCTAATATAAGCGCAACAATCCAGACAATGTCCCAGGAAACGGGAGCGTCAATGCGGGGGTAAAAATTTTGAAAGACGCATCAAAAATTGAATTTGGCTTCGACGTTCTTTTCGATTTTGTAAAAAGGAATCTTTGCGTTTCCATAATTAATTTCTTTCTTCTTTATTTTCTTCTTGATGACCACTCCTTTCGAAACATGTTTTTTGAAACAGTTGCAAAAAAAGAGAAACTAGCTTTTCTTCGCTTTCCCCCGTGTTGCGAATTGCTGGTCCTGGAGCGGAAACTTGCACTAGGCCGCCAAATGAAAGTTTGCAAACCTCACTGCAGTGTTTTTATCCGCTTTTCAGCAGTTTCTTTTGCTTTTAATATCTGTTTTACGTCATTTTACCTTCTCTAATTTTCTTCAAACACCTTCACTTTTTATGAGGTCATATGTTCAAACACCCTTCAATTTTACGCACTGTCTCTAGACTATCGAAGGTATGCCGAGAATGGGTTGCGAAATTTTCGAAATTTACTTACATGGGTTATAAAAATGTGAAAGTGACTCTATTTATTCTTGTATATAATCAAAATAATTTTTAAAATTTTCAAAAATTCAAATCAGCCTTGTAAAAATCTGGGGGTGGCTAACGCCACGCCGCCCACTTCTTCAAGATTTTAAGAGTTATGGACCCGCAAAAATTTTGAGAAGCCTTTCCTACCTCCGGTCCCGAATCCTGGGACCGTCACTGCCTCGGGTGTGTGTATAACAAAAGATATTGCGAGTTAATAAGAAGATTCTTGTCCACTTCCGATCACCTCATCCGCGCCAAACGACGAAAGCCATTATCAAGAATATGTTCCGGACACCTCTTCGTGTTTCTAGTGGTCAGTTAGAAAGAGTAGAATCAGTGGCGCTTGCGCGAAGAATTGCGGCCTCCATTGGGTACAAAAATCTGTTAGAACAGCAAGGCGGGATGAAACGCCGTACTGATTGTGAGCTGGACAGAACGAACACAACTGATAAGATCCTTTTCTGCATCCCCTATCCGATGAAGTGAGCATTGCCTTTCGACATTGTCTGAGGAAACTTTGGGAAAGATACAGTTGCACAAGTGGAACCCTCCCCCCGTCCCCGAATAACCTTAAAAGCATTTTGTCAGCAATCGTATCTAGGATCGCAGCTGCACTACGCCCACTTGCATCATATACCCTGAGGGGTGCGGAGACTACATGGTGGCGGAGCTCTCACCCGCGGGTATGCGGCAACAAGTACATAGGTGAGGCAGCGCGACCGCTATGTGTTCGCATTAGAGAGCCTTAGGCGGAAGAGTATGTTATGAACTTCCACCCCACTGAACGTTCAGAGGGCGCTGAAACATGCGAAGACATATTTTGATGTTTCAGTGAAAATCCTGGCGCGTGAATCACAAACATCGGTTTGCAAATATTTAAAGGCATTTTGGACACATCCCAAACCCCCTAAAATAAATCGTAAAGAAGAATGCCTATCCAACATTCGTGAACTCGTTCTGTACCTGGATCAATTCTTCTGATACAGCAGAAACGATATAAATAGGCATGCCATTTGTGTTTAACCAAGCAGCTCTCGCTCTGGCACCAGAATCATAGTTGCGATAGGGAGAGCTTGACGTGAGGCCGTGAGGTAATTTGAGAGTGAATCATGATCAAAAAGCTATTGGAGATTTACCTCATTCGTGAAACACGACTGTTGTGTTTGCCATGGCGTGTGCAGGAAGACGATTGGAGACGGAGTTCTTTACTTGACGACAAGGAACTAAGAATAATCTATACTTACTAAGGAATGCATATATATAGTGCACACAAATATATCACATACCATAAACAACAGATCAACATATTCGTTCATTCTTCTCAAGCATTGGTTTCTTGTGCGGCTGCACAACACCTCCCCTTCTAAGTGAAGCGGTGGGTCCTTTCCGCGCTGAGAGAGTTGACACTTCATCTTCTTAGGTTGCACTTTAGGTTTCTCGTCAGCCGAGTACAGTGGACCTGGAGCGATATAAACTTCGTATTCAGTGAACATCTCACCAAAGGAGCAGTCATCCAAAGTTGGGCTTGATATATCGCGACAGTGCATGGGAAACTTTTGCACTGCCTCGGCTAACGTCTCCTCCCTTTTCGGCTTGGATACTAGGCACTGGAAGTTGTCGACGATTCTTTCGGCCTGTTCATTAAACTGCTGATGGCGAGTAAGTCGAACTTGTTTGGCTTTTCTAGAATCGCGGATTTCGGCTGTCCTGAATTGAGTAATATCATAAGAAACAGGTACCTCGGCACTTCCAATTTGACTGGATTTTGAACGGGTTTTGCCGAATATCTTGCTCTCATCCTCTTTTTCGAGCACAAAGGCAGCCGTTGCTTTCGTGCCGTCTTCTGTTTTAGGTTGAAAAACACTTCTGCGAACTGTGTTGTCAAGTGAGTTTGCTTTTTGTCGAGTGTATCGTTCGTAGCGGTCACTGCATTCAAATTGTGACAGCCGATATCACTGTGAAAGGCACAGTCGCTCTGGTTCCAATGCACTTCAAGTAGAGCTGGTGCATCAAGTACATTTGTGGTACCATTCAAGGCGATGCCACTTAGCGCATGCTCACATGTGCCGTGTCCATGGCATGTAATGCTGGTCCCCCTAGCAGCAGTCGAATTATGTTTCGGGTTCTTTAGTTTGTGTCGGCCAGTCTTGATCCATGTGTCGCGATCTTCAGCTCCACAGTCAAGTCGTAACTCGATACTTGTGTTGTTGGTTTTCACATTGCAGTACGACTTCGTTTCTTTAGGCGGTGAGATGACGACAGGATGGACGTCCTTGGCTTCATCGATAAATAGTTTACGTAGACAGTACCTCTCTAAATGTCCACGCTTCTTGCAGTAGTTGCATTCAGTGATCGGCTTCTCGCACTTCCTGGTCCTATGGGTCTTCGCTCCGCAGTTCATACAAAGATGTGTTCTGGGCTTGTGACCGATGAATGGCTTCCGCTTCTCGTCTCGCTGCATCGCATTGACTTGCGGGTTGTCGTTCATCTGATTCACGCTGACTACCTTGGCTTTGTCGATCATCTGTATATGATTCTGCAGTTCCAAGTAGTCTTTGTACTCTTCGTTGGGTTCTTGCTTCGGCAGTTCAGCCATGGGTTCTCGACAAGACTTCCACACTTCCATGATTTGCTTCATTAAAAGGTGGATCGTGTCCGTGTCCGAGCTTGAGTTTGGGCCCTGATCGAATTCTGGTAGACGAGTAGCGAGTGCATTCATCACGTAATCCTCGCTGGATCCTTGTTTCATCTTTACTTCTTTCCGCAGCTCCATGATTTGCAGCATCAGAATGTGGGTTGGGTCCACGTTGGGAGTCGGGTTCGGGCTCGGGTTCGGGGTCCGATCGCCAGTTGTAGTGTTTGCCATGGCGTGTGTAGGAAGACGATTGGAGACGGAGTTCTTTACTTGACGACAAGGAACTAAGAATAATCTATACTTACTAAGGAATGCCTATATATAGTGCACACAAATATATCACATACCATAAACAACAGATCAACATATTCGTTCATTCTTCTCAAGCATTGGTTTCTTGTGCGGCTGCACAACAACGACAACCACATATTCCTTAGAAGAAACATTTATATCAGTTATACAACGAGAGTTATTGCAATGGTTGCTTTTCCTCATGCTGTTTTAAAGCGTCTACAATAGTTTTGTAGCATAACAGATCAACTAAATTTGGGAACTAAAAACAACTCGAAAATCTAAACACTTCTAGAACGAATATAGGAATCAAAAAAACATTTGAATTTTTTAATAAGAGCCTCAATGGTATGCTTACTTGCTGCCTTTTTCTTCCAGGTTTTTTCGAAAAAAAATTTTCAAGCCTAAAGGTTCTATGAATCCTGTCACAATTTTGAGATAGATAAACAGATAGACGCTTTTGCTTGTAAAAAAGCAAGCAAAACCAACTGCAGAGTGTCTCAAAAGTTTTCAAGCCTAGTATTTTCTCAGCTGCAACTGCACGAAGCAACGCTGTTATATGAAATTCAGCAGGAATCTTGCAAAGAACCTACAAAATGAAAATGTACACTCAGTTTGAGAACCTTTATTTAACCTTCACGCAATCCCTCAACTCTTGCGGAACGCATGCACCGTGGCAGACAGATAGTTGACGTCGAGAATATCTCACCCCTTCTGAAGCAAGCATTCTAGACTGTCCAAAACAATGTGAAACAGAGCAAGTCTTGCTTTCCATGACTGGTCAAATAAAGTTTAAGAGTTTTGAACCGGCGATTAAAAGCACGTTCATCTGAGAAGCACTTTTGTGAGATTTAACAAAAGTTTCAAAATGTAGCAATCAAGTTTCTAAAAACCAGGAAAATAGCAATTTTGGTGTGTATGGAACGACTTTAAAATGATAGTTCGGTAAGAACGGCACAGCTTACAGCTAAATTCAGTGATTCAAATTGATTTAGTATTGAAGTTTCAGCTTTCTCGGATTTTTGTTTCCGAGAACTTTTTCTTCTTATTGACATGGCACTACTTTGAGTGATTGTATGCTAATCCTGCATTAATGAATAGACAGCACTGATTAGTTTTGCACTATAGACGTAAAGCGAAGCTAGCTCTACAATATGCAATTCGAGATTCCGCAAGAGCAAAAGAGCTATAGACATTTGAGTAAAGGGTACGTTAACCTGCCTCAAAATTGAAGTGTTGTTTGTTCCAAAAACAATATTTTGAGAATGTACAGCGCGAACGGTATGATTTTCTTGAGGTATACTAAAAACTAGACAAAGTATTCATACGCAATATTTAACTGAAGAGCGAGGAATATTAACAAAATTACTAAGTCGGAAAGTTAGGCTCAAAGACTTTTAGGACACCTTGTAATATTAGGTTGTCCCATAAGTATTTTCATGTTTGAGTTTTTGCTATAATAAGTCACACACTTCTTACTCTATATAGACGCAAGACACCATTCGACAGAGCAAAGCAAGCTCTTTAAGGCGCTTATGCTTTTGCACCAGCTTAGGTCCAGCTCAAGTTTCAAACCAAAATCTAAAAAGTTTCGGAAGCCAAAAAACTAAAAAATTTTTGTATCTTTGTTCAAAAAAGACCTACAGATCCACTCGCTCACGCATATGCATACCACATCAGGCATTCAATGTGCTGTTGTTGTATTTTTTAGATGAAATGCTGAATTAAAACCCAAGTGAGGAAAGTAAATTCGATAATTCTCGCGAACTAGAATTTATAGAAAGCCAAAAATCTGCAGTAGTACTTTTAAGGGCTTTTAGTATACAACTGTCAGTGTAAGAACAGCATGGCATTACTTTGATAAAAGATAGCAGTTTTTGGTCTCTTGATTTTTAGCTGATGAAAAAATACAGCAGTAGCACATTCAAATGTCTGATGTGGAATGTATCTGCGTGAGGAAAGATCTGTAGGACTTTTCTGAATGAGGATACAAAACTTTCAATTTTTTGGGCACAGGAAACTTTTTAGATTTTGGTTTGAGACATGAGTTACACCCAAGCTGGTGCAAAAGCATAAACGCCGTCTTGTAAAGCTTGCTTTGTTCTGTCGAATGGTATCCTGTTTCTATTTAGAATAAGAAGTGTGTGACTTATTTTAGCGAAAGCTCAAAAATGAAAAGACTTATGGGACAACCTAATAAACAAAAAAAAAACCACCTAATAAGTACAGGATTTTCCAAAAAATGTGAACACTGTTTGATAGTTGATAATCTTTTGTCATGAAGTTCTTCGAGAAGTTTGAGGTACCATTCTGTAGAGCGTTCAATTTAGACTCACAGTATGAAGCTACTAATCAATCACTCTTTATTACTGTAAAATTACGGTACAAACTCTCAGCATAATGCCACTGTATAAACAGACTTTTTTCAGTGAGTAGGACTAGTCCAATACAAGAGATTTTGGCTTGTTTGGTTTTCTTTCTGAGACAAAAATCGCTTTCGATTTCCAAAAAGTTTCCACTGTAATCCTACAGTAAAGAATAGCGGTTGATGAATCGCTTCATATTGTAAGTCTAAATTGACCTCCCTCCACAGAACAGTGCTACAAGCTTCCCGAAATACTTCATGACAAGAGAGCTATTTACGATCAAATAGTCTTCACATTTTTTGGGACAATTGTATAGCCGATAGCTATGGTAAGTCCATATCAAGGTTTTCGATGCTCGTAGAAGCCAAAAAAGTTTTGCTAAAGACTGCAAAAACAGCTCAATGTGATATGAAGTGATTACTTTGAATAGTAAATGATTATATTAGTCAGATTACTTTTTCATGAAATGAAAGAGAATCAAATGCTTTTTTATCAGCTAAGCGAATTAGTAGATATATCGGTTGAATAAATTTATCATATCTAATTGCTGGGAAGAGATACAAAAAAGTCGATCTACTTCGATTCTCCATAGTCTCAGCTTTCGAATGATGTGTAGCTTTTTAGGGCATTAAGTTTCCTGGCTTGAAAAAATGGTTGCTCCGGTGATCCATAAAAGTCAATACATTGGAGGAGCGCGGTGGAGCGAGCTAACTGTATATATCTCCACCCCATTGGAATCTGCTATGTTTTTTTCGCCCAATAATCTATATACTATTCGAATGCTTAGAAAACATGGATTCGACATAAAACGTCGACTTCTTTTTAGCCCAATCTAATGAGAGATACGCCGCATTTTAACTAAAATTGTGTCCATTTTTGAGAGCAGATTTCTGTCCAACAAAAACGTCGCTACCGCTGAATAATTTTTATCACAGAGGAAGTCTTCATCAATAAACATAGACCGTCGATTTCTCGTAGCTTCCATCTTGATTGCGATAAGAGAGCAGAAAGTGAACACACCAAACCAGTTGAATTGCTAGCCAGATAATCATATTTTGCGGAACAGAATACGTAGAAAAAACTGACAGTTTTATTCAATTCGTCATGACCTCAGCTTTCGAATGGTATATAGATTGTTAAACGATTTTGCTTTCAGGGCTCGCTTACCTCCTTCAATGGGAGTAGCTGAGACCCTCTTTTCCCGAATGGGAGTAGCTGAGACCCTCTTTACCTGGAGACGGCCCGGCTTCTTTATCGCACCTTTCAAAAGGTGAGTGTTTGGTCAGGCAGTTAACTGTTAGCCTACCCAAGCCTTAAAGCTTTGTTTGTATAGCTGCAGAAACGTTTGGTTTGCTCAGATAGTTTGCAAGTCGTCATGTCCATTCCAGGCTCTAAAAAGGCGACTTGCCGAAACGTCAGCTAATAAAACGTTAACAATCTCGGATCACGGCTTAGTGTATTTAAGCACAGTATAATGATCACTTAGATGTTTCCGTTTTTTATTTTTTGTCTTTATATTTTTTCTATAGCAATTCAAAGAAATTACAAATTTTTTGCTGTTCTGATAGAATACGATTGTGGCAGTCGTGCGACCTCTGAGGATTCTCGACATCAGCGTGATGAAGTGCGAGGCTGCTGCGGAGATCTCACGGCAGAGTTATGGACGCGCTTGCGATAACTCGTTAATTCCAGCTCTAACGGCTGACTGCGGCACCAGGCAGTTGCCGGACTAACACTTGCACGCCTCCCTCCACGTGTCCCGTTCAAGCCGTAACCCCGGTTAGATATGGGCGCCTTACTCAGCGGTGTTCGAACGTGAGCGCCTGACCGCGCAAAAAGAGGTTTGGCGAAATCGGCCAAGTCAGGAACAAATGCAGACCTACTCCTTGATTATCGAGTTATGTGAAATAACGCATCGTTGCTTAAGTGCTGGAAAATGTTGGTAATTCAGAAAGTTCATTCAATTATCAAAAAGCTGGATTAAATTGTCTTATTACAAGATGATTTGATTCGATTTGATCCCAAGATCTGCAAAAATTCAAAGCCGGATCTCTTCAATTCGGGCTCTACTGCCCTCACTGAGCCTCAGAAAGCATAACACGTTTTGAAGTAGAGGTTTTTAGCTAAGCAGCATATCTGGAATCAGCGTTCGAAGCTTATCGGGGAAACGACAGCGCCTGATCAGAGTTACGGCCTGAACGAAAACACTTTCTCAAACCGGATTCCTACCGCCGCAATTCTCTCTACTTGGTACGCCGCCTGCACCGTACTTTTGCCTGCATTACCATTCATTAAACTGAGAGCTTCAAGACCGCTACGCACATATTGCCTAAACAAGCTTGGACGTGTAGTCAAAAGTTTGGGACTGCAGTCTACTAGCATTTCAACTACATGCTATTCATTGCACACAACTACTGGAAGCGTTGCGTCCGACTTAGATAAATATGCGCATGGGGAAATAGTAAATGGCAAGAGGGATCAAAGAGCGCTTGATCAGCAAGACGCCGACAGCTTCTATAGTGGCGTCCTGTCTTTGCGTACGTTAAACGGCTTATATCTGGAATCAGCGAGAACAAGCTCAGGCTTGTATAAACATTGTGTGCGAAGCGCGTTCGAGATCTTGACCACAGAATAAATGATTTTTTTTCCTCTGTGTGCTTCTGCCTCACCACAATCACCCGCTCTAATTTTTCATAGCAATATCTACCATGACCTGGTTTAATCCTTGCCCCTTTCTTGTTTGATATACTTGTTTGTAATGCTAAAACAGATGAATAGCCAGCCGTACTCGGTGCCCATTTACTAGATGGATGACAAGTGTGAGAGCGAAAACAATTGCTTTCGGACATCTTCTTTAAAAAAACTGAGCGTTTGATAAAGGAAGTACCAATAATGTGAAGCGGTGGCGACAATTCGCGCGAGATATGCAAGGTACCGAGGTTTGCAAGCGTCCTTACGAGGTAAAATCCGCAAGCTTCCAGTATCTCCTCCATTTCGAAACAATCCCAACTGCGCATTCGTAATGGTGTGAATACGCATCGGAGGCAAACGTCGTCACGCATCTATGTCTAAAATCTCGTGGCTTATTCTCTAATGCTGGGCGCTCTATTCAAAGTACGTAACGGGACACATTCGATAAGTATGCAAGACCCAACCAAAAACATATGTTTGCAAAGAAAGGTCATTACTCGAAGGTATATGAGTAACTCGATACGGAGGGTTTTAGGTTGAGAACGGCCAAAACTTGCCAGTGATTGTACCGCAGTAAAGACACACACAAACAAACATTGATTTTACTATCTATGCAGCTTTACAATAAATGAAATGAAAAAACGGCAAGTCCCATAAAGGCGGACATTATTATTGAGAAACAGACGCGCAAAGGTCGCCCACTTTTATCATTGGAGCGTATGAGTTGCAAACCCGAAGTCGGTAAGCGCTTCATATAGGCCGCCTCCGAGACTAACCCTTACTAATATGTCACAACACATACAAATCTTTATCCGTCTGTGAACATCGTAAACTTTTTTGCTAACTCGTCAAAAACAATCTGAATGCGTTGTTTTCCAAATGTATTGAAATGATTGTTACAATTGAGATACATGAGGTTTGTTTCAGGGTTGTAACCAAGGTAGTGACCTTTCTTATCAACAAGCTCTGGCATGTAGTCCACTATCTCACAGTTTTTGCATCTGAAACAACCTTTTTACAGCATTATTATTCACAGTATGTGTGCATAATAAAATTATCATTGAAGCATTAGTAAAAAGATGAACATTATGTTAAACACTGTCAAACCTTTTTCCAATTTCCCATATCCGATGACGAGCGAAAAAGAAAAACTCATCCTTCTCTATGAGGCCATCCTGGAAGTTCAGAGTTTAAAAGATTACACTGAAATAGTTTACTGCAGTTTCTGAAGTAGAGCTTTGCGAAATCACAGTAATTTGTCGAACGCGGTCATTATAAACAGTGCTTCCAACAGGATTTGTTTTTTTACTTCCACACAGAACATGTGTCAAGTGGTAGCTTTTCTTTCAATCTAAGCTGCTTTATCGAGCACTACTTTCGTTAGTGCGTCTTGCTTTGAATGTTTCGAGTGGACAGGACGGCAAGATAACTTACATAGTGCCAAGATGTTGTCTCCCACTCTAATAAGCTGCTTTGATGAAAATACGTGTATGTTGATTAGAGAGCAAAATACCCAGAAAATTGTCACTGATTCCCAATGCCACAAGTTTTGCTCATCTTCTCGGCTTGCAAATTGCACTTGTGTATGGCCATGATTCTAGGTACCTAGATAGTGGCACGCGTTTAGCACCCAGGGCTTGGCACAAGTGGCTCACGGAGCAAGCTGGGTATCGTTGAAGTGAAAAGCAAAGAGAATACTGGTTTTGCGGGTTCGCTGCGAAACCCCGAAAAAACGTATGCATGAACTTAGTGTTGTATATGAAAAAAAAAACGCCGATTCCTCCTTGCACGATCGGGGGTGTGTGAATTGGAAAAAATATTTTAAGAAAACCTTCAAACCAACTTTACTGGGTTTTTATAGAAAACTAAACGAGTAAGAAACTTCGGAGAGTTGGCCAGTATTCAACCACTAACTCAGCAATTCTTGCAGCCCTCCTCTTCCCTCCCCTCCAACCCCCTCTCGTTCAAAAAAAAATAAAACTTATCCAAGGGCTCTTACACTTTCATCAACCCCCCCCCCCCTCCCCCTCTTTTATGCCGCCTCTTCATTTTCTGCGTCCCAGATTCTCAGCACTGCAATACCGATTCAAATCTCTGCGAAACCAGCAATTTACCGCTACAATCTGCTCGTCGCAAAGCTTGGGAATTCAGAATGTCCCGAGATAAATAAAAGGCTTGTTTACAGCGAAGTGAAAACGGTATGATACGAAAATTGGTGTGCAGATGGGCGATAAAGAGTTAAAACTACGAATGAAAAATTGTAAACAAGTTATGTGAACTGGAAGCGCGGCGAACTCTTTTTGTGTTTAGGTGGATTTTCAGCCACCTGGACAGCACCTGAGGTGTCTGCGAAAAAGAAAGTCGTAAATTTCCCTTTCTTCATATAATTTTCTCACATGTTTTACATAGCTTTGTTCTACATCAAAATCTCTACGAATGAGTTTTTCGAATCTTCCAACTCTCCTCCCCACTTACTCACAGCCCTCCAAATATATTGCATGGCGACGACAAACCTGCTTTAAGCGCGCAATGTGCGCGCCAGACAGCATGACCCCAATTCGGAGAACTCGAATAGAACATTTTTATTTTTTTTGTCTTTTTAATGTTAGTTTCTGTTTTGTCTCATTACTTTTTGTTATTCGTGTTTGACCCATTCACGATCGCATCATAGGTGAATTTTGTGCTTAAGTTTACTGGGACTTCGTTTCTGAAAAATTGACATGCTGAGCCCGTTAGCACCTCCTCCTACTTTCAGCACGCTGCCCGACTGGAGAGTAACAATTGGACTCCTGTACAACATATTCGACTCTGCCACGTTTGATTGTTGCGATTTCTTACATGATGTGAATGGGAGACGTATTCGACGCACACAACTATCTATGGTCACATCCTAAAATTGTCTATAACTACCATCACGTGACTGCGTTTCATTCGTTTTAACACATTACCTCCAGCAAATCCAAGAGAACTTTCTCGAACTTAACATGCTTAAACGATCTAAAGGCAGCCACTTTGATAGTACCTACGGGAACAATTTTTGGGGATGCGCGATACTTCGGCTCACGCCGCTCTCGGTCAGCCTTCTGCCGTGGACTGCGGCAAGTTCCCTGAACATGTAGCTTTTATATTGGGTACGGGTCAGAAGTCACAATTTGTCGCGAAGCGATGTCACGATGCGACGCCAAGCAATACAAGAGTCAACTTTCGCCAACACTCCTGGCGCAATGTTACTTATAGCCTCGAATCATGTATCTGCCGCCACCCCCACCTCCCTACGCTAGCGGCGTCACTTTAGCACCGGAGAGTTTTTGTGAGGCAGAAAATATGCATGCGAGCCTTCTCCGCCCGCGGTGTACTCCTAACTCGTAGCCTTTTGTAATTCAGCCTTTGACTACTTCATCTCTCCAGTGTATCCTTACTTCCTTCTCCTTCCCTCACTACCATCGGATAGCTTGAGCAGGTAAAGTAAGCTTGCACACAGTTTTCAGAGATTTCCGCCCATCACATTCATTTAATAGAACTGCATTGCATGACAGTGATTTAAGTTATCTATTATACTTAATTGATACTGGAATTGTGCTTCAGAATACTTAAATCCGTTAGAACATATGCAGAAAGCAGCCTACTTTTTATTTCTTCAGGCCCATTAACGTTAAAGGAGACGTAATATTCCCTCAAAAGTGTACTATTCTTTGCAGGAAGCAATAAGAAAAGTTCCGCTGCCGCAGAAGTGAATTCAAGGTTGCATGCTGTGCTGGAGGATGTGTTGATGAAAATATAACATTCAAAGTGGGACAAGAATGAGACTGGGTTTTATTTAGCTATAATCATCAAAAATGGGTATTATATTCAGCTGTAAACACTCAGAGTTTCGACATATGCTCATTAGTATGCTCATTGCCTGTCACATGTACTATCATATCACCTATGCACTAGCCGAAGGCAGGTGCAAAGCGATCTCAGATAGTCTCTCTGAGTCAAGCAAATCTTCCTTTGATATGTCATCTTTTGATTAGACAAGTAAAACGACAGAAAAATTACTTTTTAGGAAACCGAGTTATTCGGACTGCTCTGCCTGCAAGTAAGCACTGGCTCTCACAAAACATACCCGACTTAGCAAATGACATAGCAAGAATGAAACTTAGGAACAATGTGGACATGAGTGAGCTGATTTACGTAAACTAACATAGTGGTGTACTAAACTGCTCACAAAAATTGATCGATCATTGTTTGTGAGCGTAGCAGATAATAGGATCTTCAACAAAGGTTTCCTTTGCATTTTCTTTACCGGATTCATTCCAGCACATTTCTTGTACATTTCTGAGAAAAGTCAAGCAGATTTCTTGGAAAAGGCATAGTAAACTCGCAGATTACCTAGAGTAAACACTGTCATTGTCAGTTTGTGGAAGCTCAATCAGAGAGATTCGTTCGCGCATAAAACTTAAAATTCAGCGCTACATAATCTGATTGAGTGGGACCTAGGCAAAAGTCGAAGGTTCGGTTCGCGACGGGCCTATTTCTTTGGCAAAGCTCTTGCCCCACGAATCCAGCATGAGGCTGCTCAACCAAGGGGAAGCAAGCGACAAGCCGGCTGAAGAAGAAACTTCGTCGCATCAAATGCTCTTTTATGTCTCATAGGATATTTCGAGTAAACGTAGGTGACGCACATCCGAGCTCGACGACGACGAAAAACAGGAACCTTGTCGGCATAGTCGTCTCTAAAGCTCTAAAAAATAAGATTACCAGTGTAAATAGAATGAGTGACCCGTCTCATGGGTATAAGACTGGATGAAGGGAAAAAAAGTGCTTCGAGTAGTAAGCACCGCAAGTGGGATGTGAAGAAGAGGAGAAGGAAGATTTGTGGCAACTGCTTGATGACTACGTAGTTCAATGACAGAAGAAGAGATGTTACTGATCGGTGCGGATGGGCAATGGGCATGTCGGAGAACAAAGAAGTGGTTTACAGAAGTGTCGTGGAAATCACGGTTACGGAACACGTAACTACGAAACAGAACTATTCTAGAGTTCGCTACAGCCCAAGACTTAGCCTTAGCGAATACGTGCTTCATCAAAAGACCAACTACCTCGTCACGTATGCAAGCGGAGACCACAAATCGCAGATAGGTTTCCGGAGCGTACAGTACAACGAGCCTCAAGCATGTAAAAGATAGTAAAGTTATCGGTAAAGGATTGCCTGCCACAACATCGGCCACTGATGCTGGATCTGATTATCCCAGTCGACAGGAGAAGAAGGGCGATGACCGAACAAGAAGTACGCATCAATTGATGGAAGCTTGAAGACAACGCCCGAACAGAACGTCAATGGAATCGGCCCTGCCGTTATTGCAAAGTGATCCAAACTACTCTTAGATGCTTCTGAAGGACAACATCCATCAAATAGCTGGCGAGCTGCTAGGCCGCACGAAGCCCGGAAGACGGAACCTCAAGGAAGAAACATCGTGGCAGAATGACAAACTGCAGATTGTGGTAAAGAACAAGAAGTCGGCACACAGTACATGACTGAAGACAAGATCGGAAGATGCTCACCAGAGCTACCTGGAAGCGAAACGAGAAGCCAAGAGAAGTGTCAAAGAAGCAAAACAAGCATACGTAGCCGAGCTGTACAGGAAGCTGCACATTCGCAAGGCGAACAAGAAGTTTGTCGGATTGCCAGTAGAAGATCAAACGCTACAAAAGACATCGAACACTTCTACAAGATCAAGGATGTACACGGAAGAATGTTGAGGAAGCCACAGCAGATAAACGAAAGTTGCAGAGCTCACTTCGAGAGATGGCGTCCGCTAACTCAGAATACGAGTCCACCACAACAGCCAATCCTGTAAATGGACCAGTACCAGCGATCACAGAAGTTAAAGTCCGTACCGCCATAATGAAAATGAAGAACGGTAAAGCAGCATCCAGACAACATCCCCAGCGACTTCTGGAACAAGTGTGGACAGCTGGAATCTTGTGACTTACAACATTTCTGAACCAGATAATAGAATTCAGGAATATGCCAGACGAGTGGTACACAAGCACGACTGTACCAATATGGAAGAGCAAAGGCGACATAGCCAATTGCTCCACAAACAGACAATTCGACTCATGTGCCATACGTTGAAGTTCTTCTAAAAGAACACTGGAGATGTGGCCTCGAAGCATCATACAATTTCTCTCTCCCCCCCCCCCCCACCAATGCGGCTTCGTAGAGGGGTGCAGTACAACCGACGACATAGCCAGTTGCTCCACAAACAGACCAATTCGACTCATGTGCCATACGTTGAAGTTCTTCTAAAGAACACTGGAGATGTGGCCTCGAAGCATCATACAATTTCTCTCTCCCCCCCCCACCAATGCGGCTTCGTAGAGGGGTGCAGTACAACCGACGACATAGCCAGTTGCTCCACAAACAGACCAATTCGACTCATGTGCCATACGTTGAAGTTCTTCTAAAGAACACTGGAGATGTGGCCTCGAAGCATCATACAATTTCTCTCTCCCCCCCCCCCCCACTAATGCGGCTTCGTAGAGGGGTGCAGTACAACCGATGCCGTTTACACAGTCGGAATAATGATGGAAAAAAGCAGGGAAAGCAGTGTGAGCTCCATGCGGCATTCCTCGATTTGGAGGAAGCGTTCGATAGAGTACCACATTACCGGATATGGTCATTACGAAATCACGAGGTACCAGAAGAATAATTCCGCTGGATCAAAATGATATGCAAAGGAGCCACCAGCCACGTACGAACGGTGGCGGAACGCTTGGACGACTTCCAGATAAGCCCGGCGTGCATCAAGGTTCCGTACTGTCGCCGCTACTTTTCATCACACTCGTAGACACAATAGTAAGAGATTTCATACGCCCGCTCCCATGGTCCGTCATGTACGCAGACGATGTGATCGAGAAGCAGGAAAGAATTGGAGACTGATGTGCAAGCATTTAAAACACAACTTGAGCTGCATGGTATGAAGATCAGTACCGCAAAGACAGAATACATGGAGCTGGGACCTCGAACGGAAGGAACGATCAAGATTGCAGACACAGCAATCAAGAACACCACGTCATTTAAATACTTGGGAAGTTGCATAACAGCAGATGGCTCACTTCACGACGAGATAAATGGCCGAATAAACGCGGCTTGGTTTGAAATGAAGGAGCCTCACAGGAATTCTGCGCGACAAACGGATGCCACTGAAGCTGAAGTCACAAATGTGTCGCACTGTAAACTGTCCAGCCGCGTTGTATGGAGGCGAGTGTTGGCCAAGCACAGGTAACGATGAGCGAAAGCTTGGGGTGCTGGAAACAGGTATGCTGCAATGGACGATGGACGCTGCTCGATCACGTCACGAATGATACGATACGAACCATTATGAAAGTTGCTCCCATAGTCAAGAAGCTGCAAGAAAACGATTTCGATGGTACGGGCCGTAAGAAGACAAGAAGAAGAACACATCACAGCAATGTGATGGTGGAGGTGTGGCCGGGAAAAGACCACGAGGGAGACCCGAGCTAATATTAACCAATCAAGTGAAAGCGACTTGAAAGAACTTGGATTAGATGAACGACAAGTTGTAGATCGAGAAGAATGGAAGAGACTGACAAGAGCAGCACCCGTGTAGGGACAGATGCAAGGATAAAAACTCAAAATGGTACAAAGATTAGCAGTTACAACCCTGGGAGGGAGAAACAAGTAAGTGCAGATTGGAGAAGAGCTGATCACAGCTGACAAGGGAAGGATACCAAGTAAGATTCGCCCTTTTGAGATGAAACACATATATTTGGAAAGAGCTTGGAACGCTGATCCCAAATATGCTATTTCCAGCTGCTTAGCTTATTCTGAAGCGAGTTATGATCTCTTGTCTATGCAAAGTTTGCGTGCTCCTCGACCTACTCATGCTACGGTGCCGACGAGCGAGTTATGATCTCTTGTCTATGCAAAGTTTGCGTGCTCCTCGACCTACTCATGCTACGGTGCCGACGTCTAGGTGGTTTTGCAACTGTATCATGCTCCCTTTTGATATCGAAAGAATTAATCCGATGCTCGTTCAACATCCTAGCACTTTTTTCGAGCCCACAACTGCAAGCCCATAACTCGCTCCGGAATAACGCTGAGCAGCTAGCTCAGCGTTCAAAGCTGATTCCGAATATATGTGTCACATCTCAAAAGGCGAATCTAAGTTAGTATCCTTCCCTTGTGAGATACAAACGGTCCTTAAAAGTTCGTGGAGCCTCTTGTACTCTGTAAAAGCCGTAAAGGCATGAACGAAAGTGACTGAGTCGGAGTTGATGACTGTGTGCTTTTAATACGTCGTGAGCGAGATGTTTAGTTAAAGCGCGCTTTCTTCCTTACGAAGATCAGCGTCGTTGCTATTTCGGATTCTAACGAAGATGAGAGGAAGAGTTTTGAGATAAAAAATGTTGCCACTTGACAAACTTAGGGTGCAGAGCAGATTAGTTTAGAAACTAAAAAAAATTATGTGCACTGAAAGTTCTGCCACTCTGGGGCATTAGGGGCAAATGCCACCTTAGTTCGACGAAATATTGGGCAAGCTCTTCATTCACATAAGTTTTTCGTATAATTTCGTACTTCAAGTACGCATATACACACTAAATATCTGTGCAGTGCAAGCGAGTCATTTTTACACTTTTCATTGGTGGAAAGTTTTCAGATCCACAGTTCTTTGCATTAAGCCCCTTTTAGCTCTTCTCTGTTCATATACTAGATTTGGTGTTATCTCATTGTGCGTGGCTGTGAACGAAGCGAATGCTTATTATTTTGTGCGAAAAAACTTGGATTTTGGAAAATAAACAAAGTTGTTTTTTTGTGCACGCCGATAGTGTAGCAACTTATTAGGAGAATGCGTAGGTAAAGGCTACCTGCAGGACGAAGGCGCAGAAGCACTATTGGATGAGCGGTATCAAAGTACATGCGCACATATCTTCACCGATTGTAAACCCTGCGATCCGCGTGCTCTGTGGCTAATAAACTTTGCGTTTGCGCCCAAGGGTATTGCGCTTTCGTCATGCGTAGCCTTCACGTGCTTATGTATGGACCTGTGTTCACAACTCCCCTCCCTCTGTGCGTTTTTCACCTAGAACGACTTTCAGTTTGACATAAACCACCCTCTGACTCAACAATATGAGGATCATGGACTATCATCTAGTCGGAGAGCGTCATCAAATCACCCACTTTTCAAAGTGGAAGCGACTCAATGACTCGCTCCGCACGCAGAAAGAGCTTTGAAGCGCTTAATACCTTCGAAACATGGAAGTAAAGCGGGGTTATCTCTAACTCAGCTAGCCCCTCTAGAACAAACCACATAAAAACAACAACATAAAAATACTTAGAGGATGGCATCGGAAATGTAATGTCACACCGTACAATGTAGGTGCCTTCGCCTTCGCTGATGATGAGATGTCTCCTTTTGGGGAATAAAATGTACGCAATCAGGAACACTGTCCCAAAGGGGGATTGATTTTTACCGCCCCTGGGCTGATTAAAGGGAAGTCATCAAAATGCTTGTAAGCAGGGTAGCAAGAGGTCAGGCACATACCCTTCAAAAACGATTACCCGCTTTGCAAACGTACTGAAACGACCCTCATTTCTTGATCTCACCTCCGCAGACTCGTATGTCGCATTTAGGAGAGAAAAAGCCTGTGGCGACTTTTTTCTGCTGTTCTCTGCGCATGTCTGCGATAGCACACGGCTTAGCAGTGAAACGGTATAACTGACGGTAAACTTGCCCCGTTTTTTATGTTCACCTTATACATCATAGTGCATTTTAGTAAACTTGCTTTCATTGTGTTCAGAGGTCTTCCTTTTTGTAAGTAATTCACAGCTCTATGAGCGCAGCCAAGTTTACAGCTTGGTAATGCTTGTAAGATGTAGACCTGAAATTAAAAGCTTGGTAAAAAAGTGTCATATCTAGGGTGTCCCAAAAGCATGTAAGCACTTTTTAATTGCTGACATCTATCTCTATTTCCAAAGCCTTTGAGATTCAGGTATCGTCGAGTCATTCGTAACTTAGTATGCGTAGTGCACACCATGTGCGCTATCTGACGAACTCCAAGACTAGAACCTGCTCATTTTCAATGACTTGTCTTTATTTGTTCTTTTGTTTTTGTTTTTGCTGGATATATGTCAGCTGTTGGAATACGAATTCAAAGTTTGTTAGGCTAGAAAAAGTTCTACAGTAGTTTCCAGTAAGGGTGCCGTCGCTTGCCGCGCAGGGTGTGCACTTTTACAATTAAGTTACAAATGACTCAATGATAGCTCATCGTAAACTGGTTTCAACTTGATTTTGCAGTATAGAGCGATTCACCGATTTTTCATTATCACTGTAGGATAATGGTAGAAATTTCCAGCTTCCGGCATTATAGCGTCATTGTGAGATGTGCAAAACTCCCAGGAAAAAATTTTTTGGTTTTTGCGAAACTTGCATCTAAATTAATATGTGACTGAGCCGATGCGAGACGACGTGGTATTGGACTTGGTCTTAGCAGGGTTGCAGTGTGTCACTTAGCCACTGCTAGCCACTGTAGGATTATGATAGGAAAATTCCAGCTTCCGGTATTATGTATAGCGTCATTGTTAAATAGGTCGATTGAAAAAACTTTAAGAATACTGAAAAGTTGTGTAGCAGTGTTTTCATGCATGCTGATATCATTACACAACGTTTCAGAGTTTTCCGCCCCGACTTTTGAATAGGGCTGTACCTTTGTACCTTTGAACTGCTCTACAAACATAAACAAGGTTATCTGCTAGGGTCAGAAATGTAATGACGACATTGTGCCGGAAGTGTCTGCTATAATCCACTGATAAAGAGCAATGAAAGATTCGTCTTCGCTCCATTCTTTCACTTTCAAGCTGTTCCCTACAACATGCTGCTCACACGAAAACTATTCAGAAGAAAGCCGTTAACGAAACGCCACGACGCATGCTTTGGTACACCTTGCATATGACATGTTGATGTGACCTTTCTAGTTGTTTTTTCGAGGAGTATCAGTGTTTTCATAAAAAGACCGAAGGCTCTGTCTTCATCGATTGGTTTTGACACATTGAGCGGAGCTTTCGTGATGACAGCTCTGAAAAATCACTATAGCTTCGCAAACTCAACACTATTAGAAAGTTGCAACCTATCTATCATGAATACGACTTCAGGTTTCAGTTCCTTCACTATATGGGTAAAGTTGAAAGGAATTGGACAATTGGGATAAAACATTTCATATCCTGAACTTGTTATCGCTATATCGACACGTTAGTGAAGCTCTATGAAAACAAACATACTTGGCAAACAAAATATGTTGAACTGCCTTGCATACCGTTTGAATGCCTTGTAAATGACGTCGCCTTGGTTGCAGGCAAAGCTATTTCCAGCGACCAGCATGTCTATTCTGCCATTTCCATTCTAAAGAAAAAAAATAATCAATGTGCGCTGTACACAGATGGACTCTCCTTTCAAAAACAGGAGCCTTCAGTCACAGATACGATTTGGCTTATTGCAAACCAGTCCTTACATTAGTTTGCATACCATAACAGGGTATCCCAAAAAATGTAAAAAAAGATCTTCCAGAGAGCTTGAGGCACCGTTCTGCAGAGCAAGGTTCAACTTAGACTTACAGCATATAAGGATTCTCCAATCTTTTTTCTTTACTGTAGGATTACGGCATAACCTTTCAGCATATAGCGCCACTGTGGAATGGGCTTTTTTCAGGAAAAAATCCCAAAAAATCCAGAAATCTGTGTAGCAAGGTCCTCAGGCCTGCTGATTTTACCACATAGCTTTTTACCAGTTTTTCGAGATTTTTCAATGGTGTAAAGACGAACATTGGAAGAATAGTCGCTACCCTAAACCTGAAATAACTTATAAAAGAAATATTACAGTAAATTGCAACTTTCATATTTAGAATCAGCGTCTTTGATTAGTCCGGTACAAGAGTTTCTGTCTTGTTTGATTTTTCCTTCGAGGCAAAAATCGCTTTCTATTCTCCAAAATCTTTCTCGAATTTCCTACAGTTATCCTACCGTAATGAAGAGCGAGTGATGATCAGAGGTGCGATAGTCGGAGCCAAGTGTCCGCCTACCTTCACTTTTGAGCTGGTACAGGACGACCACCTTCACTTTTGGGTTTTGGGGTTTTTTTGCTGAAGTTAAAAAAGGAAAATAAGCAAAACGAACGTAAAAGATGGTGTTGAGAGCATATCCTTACGCAGTTCACTTTTAAGAACTCGCCGTCGGCTACTGGGAGCACCTAAAGGCCATCACTGACATGGACGCTCTACGCCTCGCCTCACTACGGTTTTGGAGAGCAAAGTTTCATGATGAATTCGGATAATTGAAGAGCTCTAACCCAACGGTCCTCCTTAGGGCCAACAACTGTGACCCAACGGCCCTCTTTAGAACCATAAATACGATGAGTACAGCGGCATAAATATTTGAGATAAACGTGTTAATCAAATGGTGTATATTTGTCAATAAAACTCAGCTATTTACTTCATTAAGTAAATTTTGTTATAACGTACTGCGGATAAATTAGGTCGATCCAGGCAGTAACTACCGAGAACCAGAATTTCGAATGTATCATATAGTGGAAAAATTAGGTTGATTTGAACAGTGGCCGCCGAGAACGAGGATTGTAAAAAGTTAAACGATTTTGGATTCTTTAGTGACAGCTGACGTTATCGCCTATATAAATTCGGAATGTGAAGGTGTGCATTGTTACTACTTCATAGATATTGTAGAGTAGGGATTGCTCTATCAGACTATTTTCAGCCGTACCGATATCCATTGAGACACCGCCGAGATTCACGCTCTCAAAAAAAAAACAGGTAAAAAACCGTTTTTTGAGATTCAGCAGCTCATAACTTCTTGAGAATTGCATGAATCATGCGCGACTTCATAGGTTGGATTCCCCTCTTCATGAGCTTTCGGATGATATATAGTATGTAAGGGGACTTCGCGCATCTCACGGCATATGCCCGGGGTGGAGACTTTTCATCACAAGTCGCCACTGGCGGCCTTAGCCAATACATTAACATGGGCGAGGTGGAGACTTTGGAATAAAAAGCTTCCACTCCGGATTAGAGCCGCAAAAATCATTGAACTTTCCACATATTATACATCTTCTGAAAGCTCTTGATAGGGAGGATCTAATCTATGAAGTCGCAATATGATTCATGCAATTCTGAAGAAGTTATTAGCTGTTGAATTTCAAAAAGCGGTTTTTTACCTGTTTCCAAAAGCGTGATTCTCGGCGGTATCTTGATGGATCGGTACGGCTAAGACATATTTCAATGGAGCGATTCTTACTCTGCAAAACCTATGAAGTCGCAACATTGCATATCTTCACATTCCAGAGTATAGGAGTCTAAACGTCAGCTGTCACTAAGTAACCTAAAATCGCTTAATTTTTTAAAATCTCGTTCTTGGCGGCCACTGCTCATATCGACCTAATTTTTCCACTATATGATACAGCAACACTTACCCTTCAAAACCTATGAAGTCGTATTGCTGACATCTTTAATCACCAGATTTATAACAGTGGAGATTTTGCTTGGTTTTCGCTATTTTATTATTCGAAATTCTGGTTCTCGGTGGTTAGTGCCTGGATCGACCTACTTTATTCGCAGTACGTTATGACAAAATCTACTTAATAAAATACGTAATTTGATTAACACGTTTATTTCAAATACTTATGCCGCTGTACTCATCGTATTTGTTGCTCTAAAGAGGGCCGTTGCGCCACAGCTGTTGGCTCAAAAGAGGACCGTTGGATTAGAGCTCTCCAATTATCCGAAGTCATCATGGAGCCTTGCTCTTCAAGATCGTAGAGAGCGCTGACGCGTAAAGCGCCCATGTCGATAATGGCCACTCCCCCTCCCCCCTCTTCGACGTTCTTGAGAGGTAAGTGTCCGGCATTAGCATCCTCACATTTGGCCGGCCAGTGACAGCTGAGACTACCTTCACTTTTGGGAGGCCTGGCTCCACGGCCTGCTTATGATTCGGCACTTACTAGGGAGGTCCAATTGATCAAAGTGGCTTTGCGATCGAGTCTTACACCACTTTGAAGATTATTAAGCGGTGATTCCAATTTTGATCTTATCTGCCAAGCGCGTCTGCATGCCAAATTGTGAATATTTTAAGGTTAAATAAACTGTTACGGCGCCTTTTCAGCGGTTTCAAATAAAGCAGTGTTAAGTATGAGCGTTTTGGACAGAAGGTTTTCTTCAAATGACTTTGCTCTGATCAGTAAAGGCTATTTGAGCGATTCTGACAAATTTTGTTCTACTTATGCATTCAACTTTAACTCAAAAAAGCTCCAACTCGATGTTCAAGGACGTTCGGCAGATAACGAAGACAGATCTAAAATCAGCGTTCGATGCTTTTTGCAATCAGTTCTATATATTTTTGTATCAGTTCTATATAAAAAGGGCCACTTCGACCAATCGAACTTCCCTTGCTAGAGGAGCTGGCAGAAAAAGAAATGGAATCAGCGTTTAATGATCTCTAAAATGTTGTTGATTTGTACGCCACTTGACTAAAAACACATCCTTGTGAGTCTATCGCACTTTGGTCTTTACGAGAATAATTTGATTTGATCAAGAATGTTGGTGCTTAAACGTACGGAACTGCGGAGAGGAAGGGAAAGGAAGAAGTGCAATTTCAAGGTCGGAAACGTTATCATTTATTACTATTCAAGATGGTGTCAAGTTTAATAGCAGTACAATTGCTTCTACATGCGATACAACCAGCTTACCTTCAAATACAATATCTTTCCCTCAAGCAAAGTAAAACTTGAAAGCACCTTCATTTCACAAAATCCAAATGGAGGTGTTATGTTTGCAAACCTCCTGCTGTATTTGCATTCCTTATGCCACATATGTTGTGCATCTTCAGCTTCCGCAGCATTGAGTTGACGCATCAAAGCTGAAAGCTTTTGTGTACCAAGGCTTTCTGATTAGATTTAACAACTTAGATTCCAAGCGGCATCTTCGATTTTGATTTTGTTGTAATCAATATTCCGATTTATGATAATATTCTTAGTAGATAATGAACATAGGTAAGCACAGCCGACGAATAGAACGCATATTAAAAAGCATATAATAGGCGGTGACCATTGCAAATATTTTTTTTCGTAAAACCGATACACCAGCATAGCGAGAAGAAAGGAAACTGTCACTCCGACATAGGGATCTGAATCATTGCGTAATGCTAGATAAGTAAGTCGTCACAAAAAGGTTGGCCAAGAAACTTCTTGTACAACAGATTTAGTTGAATGTTGTTGAGGCATTCTAGAGCAAACACGGGATGAGAAAATTTTATTTTATCACGTCATTCTCAAAGTTCGTTCGCATCATTTTCAAAAATCTATAACTTCTGATTTTTCCAACCGATATAACTGTTTTCATTTTTATGTGAAAGAGTAAATCATGGCCTTCATGATGACCTTAACGACTTACTCATGGCCATCGGTTGCATAGATAGGAGCTATAAAAGAGAATTACTTAAATCTCAAATTTTCTGTGTAGGGTCATAAAAAATCTGGAACTTGCAACACAAATCAGAGTAGTCGGTGCTATAAGTTCTATTACCTGCTCACTCTGACAGTGCAAAGCCTGCGCTGATTGAGCGTTTCTAACAAAAGTCATGTTATTCGAGAATGTCAAAATAAATCAAAATTGCATTTTTTATTGCATGCACTATAATCATAACTTTTTATAGAAATATTCAATCAGCACAAGTTGTACAGTTAGAAGGAGCAGGTAGAGAGTGGAATTTTTTACGCCGATTCCTCCGATTTTTTTTGCAGACACACATAAAATTCAAAACTTGAGTAATTTCTTTCTGTCCTCCTACCTATGCAGCAAATGGCCATTAGTAAGCGGGTGATTCATCATGATAAAGAACAGGATTTACTCCTTCACATAAAGATAAAAGCAGTTGTATAGATGGAGAAATCAGAATTTATAAATTTTTGAAAATGATGCGAACGAATTTTTCAAACGACGTAATACTTTTTATGTGCTTGATGGACTCCGCTTTTTTCGCAACTCAGATAGGCGCCGGCGGGAGGCCGTCCGCAAACTCGCGCTTTTTTACAAGCGGTTAACAAAATTTTGAAGAGTGGCCTAACCTTCAACAAGCGGTACTTCCTTTACTGTTGCATGTTCTGCAGGCGGGCAGCAGTACAGCAGTTTCTGCAGGCGCTCGTCAGATGAGTTCTTTTAGCGCCCTGGCTTTTCTTACACTGTTTCGGGCTTATGCCGAGCAAAGGTAACACTCCAAAAGGAGGTGTCATCATTGGTTTGATTACCCGAGTTTAGGGTACTTTCTCTCAGCGGAAGGTACCTATGGGCTGTGTGGTCCTCCACAAAGAACCGTGCGGCCTTCAGCAATTCTGCATATTCTCGCGGAATCTGCAAGTGGGCCGCATCAGCAAATTATTTTTCCGGTCCCCGCTTGCAGATAAACTGCATGGCCGCCTGCCTCTAGCGATTATTTGCTGTCAAACAATGCCAGCTACGAGTTGAAATAAACTCTCACACAAACCTACATGTTATCTGATGTTCCAAAAATCTAACGTTTTGAAGAGTAAACGGGTATCCAGTTTGAGTCTAAGGGCCGCATGCACTAACATCCCCGCGGGGAGGAGATCGCAGCTTAAAAGAAAGCTTTATATTTCGAAACTCCAGATATCTGGATTTCACGTTGTGTACCTATCCGTAAGTATTCCTACTACCCTTCACTATGAACATGTTGAAGGGGAGGGAGAAGCTTTACGAACCGCATTTTCCAGCTTTTGTATGATCCCTAATGATCCCCGGCGCTTTTAAAGTCGTTTTTCTTTCTGCGAAGTTAACGAAAACCTTCCAAAGTTGTACTGAACATCTAACACAACAGTGCTAAGCATGTTGCTGATGAGAACAAATGAGTTTTTGAAAAGTCGAACTTTTCGGCAAACCTCAAATCTCGACCTGTGGATCATCGAATATATTCATAACTTTAAAACATCATTTGTTCTTATCAGCAACATGCTTAGCACTGTCGGGTTAGATAATCTGCACAACTTTGGAGGTTATTCGTTAACTTCGGAGAAAGAAAAATGACTTTAAAGAAAAGCGCCAGGAATCATCAGGGATCATACAAAAGCTGGAAAATACGGTTCGTACAGCTTCTCGCTCCTCTTCAACATGTTCATAGTGAAGGGTAGTAGGAATACTTACGGATAGGTACACAATGCGAAATCCAGGTATTTGGAGTTTCGAAATATAAAGCTTTCTTTTAGGCTGCGATCCCCTCTTCGCGGGGATGTTAGTGCATGAGGCCCTAAGTTACCTCTACAAGGAACGACCACTATTTATAAATCTTTGGCGGCTGTGAGTCACACTAGCACACTTCGCCTCTTCCCGCTTTCCAAAAAATGTTTCAAATGTTTCCTAACGAAAAATGTTTACGACGTTTGCAATCTGAGATCGGGCAACGTTTTGCTTCTCTGAATTTTGCATTTTTTTAGTGACTTATCACTTTTGATTTTAATCTGAATGGGTGCTGTGTTTGGGTAACTACTAACGTCATGGGGTAGACTAAGGCTCTGATGTTGCATCAAACAAAAGTTCTTCTTTAACTACGGTGGTTCACCATATCCGTTTTAAATATGTGATGCAGTAGGGGAAGGAGCTCTTTAAGGGCCGCATGCACTAACATCCTCGCGGGGAGGGAATCGCAGCTCAAAAGAAAGCTTTATATTTCGAAATTCCAGATACCTGGATTTCACGTGTGTACCTATCCGTAAGTATTCCTACTACCCTTCACTATGAACATGTTGAAGAGGAGCGAGAAGTTGTACGAACCGCATTTTCTAGCTTTTATGATCCCTGATGACGCTTTAACGCCTTTCTTCATTTTTGTTTGATACCCTTTTAAAAATTTTGCGCTTCTGCCACCAAGCATTTGCGCTTGGACGTGACCTTCATTGCATTTTAGCGACTTAAGAACTTCAATCAGCCTTCGAAAGAACACTGCTGCAAGTGTTCTTTGTGTAGAGTACTGCAGCGTTTGATATAAAAAACTTGTTTTTGATTTTGCCTCTCCTTGTGCTCCGGAAATCTTGTATTAGGAATTTACAGACGACATTTGTATCACATAAGCATCGTGATTTGATCCCCTTTTTACGTCAGATTCATTTTTTAAACTTATTACTACAACATGTCTGTTATAGGCCGTCCGCGGCTGTGCTCAGAGAGCAATGCTGTTGCGTCCATTGCAAATAGTTCATGGCTGGAAAGGCGCAGAGAAAAAGCAGCAATATTGCAAGAAGAAAAAGGAGTGAGAGTAAAAGTTCACAGCTACGCGCTTCGCGCGAACGGCTTACATGAACAGTGATGTCACCCGGAAGCAGTTTTCAGCCAACCTGAATTCATATGAAAGAAAGGAGGCTAACTCAGTGGGTCTTTGGGGTAATAGTATTCCATTATAACGAGTACGGGCCAATGAATGAGATAAAGAGCATACGATATCTCTCCGACAAAGACCACCTCTTGCACAGTGAGTGCGGATACCTACGCAAAAAAATTGCCCGTAAAATTTCCCGTTCTCCGCATAAATATTCTTAACAACCTTACGTTCCTTCCCTAATAGGATTAGAATCCCTGTTGAGATAGTTGTCTCTATACGAAGAAACCTCTTTGGTAATGGATGCCAGAAGAATGGTAGTAATATAGTGAGGATAAATAGAAGCCAAGATATGAAAACCAGTACAATGTTACAGTTCGTACGATGCTCTGAAAGCCACCATAAAGTTTATCCAACATGTCAAAAAATCCCAACCTTCCATTTTTGAATTGTAGTCATCCTTGATCACTAGACTCGCTTCTCTTTCGAGCTGTAAGAAAACAACTTTTGAAATTGTTCTTACGTAAATTCTGCATGAGATTGTTGGCTGAAATCTTTGTTTCATGTCGTCTAGAAAACACATAAATGTCATACTCAATCTTCCTACTGTTGCAGAGTGTAAACGCAAGGCTCCCCAAAATAAAATATTAGGTTGATCGGAAATGTCGCATGGCATCCTACCGCGACAGGATGATGACCACAAATAACAGCGAACGGGGTATCATTTCATAGAGCAAAGCAAGCTTTACAAGGTAGTTTATAAATTTCCGCGGAAATCTTGCTTCACCTAAAAATTGAATCCAAAATAATAAAAATAATATAAAATATCTCAGATACCCAAAAAATCGTATCTTCGTTTATAGACGTCTTAGGGATCTCCAAATTGCACAGGCACGTGCTCTCCACAAGAGACATTAACCTATATAGTTTGTGGGATTTTCCATGGCTACAGTACGATCAACAAAAATAGGTCAAAAATGCGATTATGTCGCCTTTTCGGGGTTTTTGCAAACAATTGAAAATTTCTCAAATTGGCGGTTGTCTAAAGTTGAGAATTCACAGTTATACTCCTTGAGGTTCATACTAGAGAACCACCCATGTGAGCGAAGCCCAGAGTCGCTTTGGTAAAAATATGCCGAATTTCGTTTTCTCAGCTTTCAGCCGTGGAAAAACAGCGAAGTTGTGCGTACGAGTGTCTCGTATGGTGAGTCTCTGTGTGTGCAAGTTAGGGGTTCCCAGGGCTTTTCTGAATAAAGATACGATTTTTTTCGTTTTTTAGGTCTTTAATGCCCTAGGAAATTTAGCTCCAAACTTCACGCAAATCAGACCTGGCGCGAAAGATCGAGCTTCATTTTGTAGAGATTGCTTTGATCTTCCGGTTGTTACCCCACTTACTTACTTATGTGCTCACGCTTTGTGACAATGCAGGATAAAATACGATGCGACATTATTTTCAGGACAACCTAATATAATACCGCTCACATTTTTTGAAAAAAAAAAGGACGCAAATTGAAGTAGACTTAGGCGACC